CCCCAAAACCCCAAAACCCCGAGAATTATAATTTAGGAAGATATAGAAGGCAATAAAATAATATAAAAATAATAATAATTTGGATTAAAATATAATTAAAATATTATAATAATTGCAATGACACTCTATAACTTAAGCTAGTCTTACCTCAATACACTATTAGGAATTTCAATATTTCTATTAACTACATACCTTGGGAGTTGCCTTTATGTTTGGATTAAAGCTCAGGGATAGCTTGATCGTGCAGCAAAGATTGCTATATGGATATCCCTCTTGAATATGTTCACGTTTACCTACGAATGGATAGAGTTGTATTTAGCTTTGAGCGATGGTATTATACCACCAGAATACTTCTAATATGCTGATGATGTGAATAGTACTATTTGCCTAATTCTATCTGATGTTTTGATACTCTACTTTAGTTTTGAAATGAGGGTAGTCTATCTTAAATTCAAATCATCATCACATCAAGAATTTATGAAGCTGAAAGAGTATAACCAGCTTTATAGAAAAATTGGATTTTTAGTAGTTATTGTATTGGATATTCTTATTTCTACTACTGAAATAATCGCTGATAGAATTGACGATTCCTACTAAAATACATTGAGCATGGTTTTGCTTGGAGTTAGCTTAGCCAGCTTTCTGACTGATTTCATACTATTGGCTACTGTGTTTATATATTTCTTGTTTATTATAAGATAGAAGATTAAAATTCTTGATGCAAAGGGCAAGGCCCCAAGCAAGAAATTTAAATTTATAGTTGCATGGGCTTTTTTTCTTTTCCTATTCTAGCTCGTGAATATAACTACTGATTTAGTAATAAGAAATTTGATTGCAACAATTGAACTATTTTAATCCTTCTTATTCCAATCAGCCTATAACTTTACTTTCTATAATATCCATGAATATCTTAATGATATGACTCTGCTCTATCTATTTCATGTGTAGACTCAAATGAGTCTGAGTTCAACTGTATAAAAAGTATAATCTGTAAAGCTAGAAAAGGATTTAGATACAAAAAGAATAAAAAACATTCTAGAAAAAACTAGAACTCCTTCGTCATCGAATTGCTTACGATCATCTATTTAATCTTATGAAGTATCTAATCACACAATAGACTTAGATGAGTAAGAAGAATAAGAAAATTAAGAAGATGAGGAAGAGAAATCTGATCCTACTTATAAATCAATCCATCATCCAATATACTTAGCGATACCTGGTCCCTCGCTACTTAGAGATGAAAATTCTACCAGCAAAAGTTTGCTAGATAATCAAAATATGGATGAGAGTATCTTTGTAAACGATAATAGTGTTTTGGATAATGATTTTTAGAGATTTGTAAATACTTAAATAAGCTTTGTAGATGGAAGAATACAACAATAAAATATGAACAAAACTAAATCAATGATCTCTAATCAATAAATTTCTATGCAGTAATGATATGATTTAAAGATCAAATCAACTTTTTACTTATTTTACTTTAAAATAATGATTATTCTATTATTTGATCAAGATGGGGTTTTGGGGTTTTGG